TATTATTTTAAATGCATATTGATTGATTGATTAATTAATTTCTTTTAAGGAATAAGTTATGAATATAAATCACTATTATCAACCCAGAAATTTTTATAATCTGTTTCATTTACCTTCTCTAATTTACTAATTGCTTTCTTCTTGGTTACTTTAGTGAACTGGCCGACATTATAAAAGTTAAATATATTCTTCATACTATAAATGAAGGTGTTTCACGCATTCATTTTATCAGTTTTAGACAACTTAAAAGTTGTTTCAGAGAGATTCTTTGTAGTTTTTTCTTGTTTAATATGTGTCATCAAAACTTCTTTATAAGCCTAGTAAGTTAAACTCTAAGACCCTAAATGAACCTGACCTCGACATAAGGTTTGTTGGTATTAAAGCCTCCAGGCCATCCCTAGTCCTTTCCCCAATTATAATTACTAAAAAGTATCTTTTATTTCACTCTGGTTGTAGTGTCAAATATGAAAAATGTGATAATTATGAGTTCTCTGTCATTTTGGTATTGATAGATAGTCCAAAGGGGTCACCTGTGATTCTTTTGACCTGTTAAATCTTCCCCTCCACATTTTTTTCCAAAATGCCCACACAAATAAATTTTAATTTTATTTCTTAACTTAATTTTTAAGTCTTCTTTTAGCATAAGTGCTTATATCACTTAACCTGTATTATCTGAATAGAATACTATAGGTAATATACTTTCACTATATGATTAATTTTCATTACAATTATATTTAATCAAGATAAAAACGGGAAAATTTTAATCTAGTTTTCAATTGACGTAGTATAGAATACAAAATTGATTGATGAATTAATTAATTTTTTATAAAAAAACATTATGTGGAAAAGGAGAAGTGAAAAATGAAAATAGATTTAAAGCACACACCATTTATGCTCATCGGCTTGCTAGAAGGAATATTGAAAAAGAAAGAGGAAGCCATACATTCGATTGTTAAAATATAAGAAATAAACAATTAATAATTTTTTAAAATATCCTATTATGATAAAGATTATGTTAGATATTATTTTAGTAACCAAATAAATTTTGATATATTATTCTATGCCATATTTTTTTACATATTTGATGATTAATTAAATTAATTTAAAAAAAAAATTATTAAGTTTTTTTATATCAAACATTTTTACTACTTTAATTTTATTCCATTAAAATAATTTATTTAAAACGCATTATCTTTGTCAATAAAATATCTAATGAGCAGTTAAATTTATATGATTTACATTAATTTTTTAGCCAATATAAATCGTAAATAAATTAAATCAAGAAAAAGAAAATGAAAAATTCATTTTAATTATCAATATATATGTTAAAAGTTCAAATGAAGTATTTTTTATAAAATTATTTTTATTCTGCTCTAAATAATAAAGGAAAGTATAATTATATAATAATAATCTTTGAGATTTAAAAAGATAAATTTTTGAATTTTTATTTTTAAAGATTCACATGAAGATATAGATAGAGAATTATTAAAATTCAGACTCTAAATGTGTTAAATATGTCTTTAATTTTTTGTTCTAATTTTAAATAATGCCCTATATATTAAATTTTAAGCCTTAAGAGTATAAGTTAATTGCTATTATTACATAGTATTAATTAAATATGAATTATCTTGAAATTTTATCTATTTAAGAAATCTTTAAGAATAAAGAATTGAAATATCTAATATCCGTATTGAATTTCATATTATATGATTGGGATTATAAAAAGTTAATAGCCTAATATTTAATTATTAAATTAATTATAAATAACATAATAATTTCATACTTTAAATTAATCTAAATTATTCTCAATTCGGATAAGCCTCAATCGATTCCCGTAATTAAAATTATTATTTTTGAAGGGGATCATCAAAATATTTATTTGTATAACTAATTATCTTTTAATTTTTTTATTTAATTTTCTTCATCTAAAATTTCATTCATGTTTTCTGATATTTTTCTTTCAGGACTAAACTCTAATTAATAAATTACGTGTAAGGACTGCGTTGATATTGTTATAGACTCTATCAAATAATTGAATATATTGCTTTAAATAAATAAAATGCAAATTTTTTAACATCTAGTTTACTTATAGAGCTAACTTATTGATTTTTAAATTGAGTGCAAAAATATTAACTAATTAAAATTATTTAATTTCTTTTTGATGCTTAAATTCAATAATCCAGTATATAAATATTAGTAATATTGATTTAATGAATATCGTAATCAAATTTGACATTATTTAGAAAGCTTAATGAAAAATTAATTGTGTTTATGATTTTAGTTAGAGTTAATATAAATAAGTTTTATGTAATTTTAATGTTCTAATGAAAATTAAATCATTATTTAATTTCTTCATTAATTCTTCTCTTTCCATCGGGTGTTACTTTAAGGGACACAATAATTTTAACTTTTTATCTATTTTCTAGTTACTATGTTAAAGTTTCAATCTTTTAGATTGTAGCAAGACCTAATAAAATAAGAAATATTTATAACCCTGTCTCTAAAGAGTTTCAGCACATCTAACAGCTCCTGAAATAGCATCTCCAAGAGCATGAATTTCAACTTCATCAAATTTCTTCAAAAAGATCTTGGAAACGAAGTAGGATGTTCTTGGTTTTGCAGAACCTCTTAATTAAAATACTTTGTCTTTAGGGTCGATTGGGTTTTTCTTCTTTTGATCCATTGTTGCTGATGGTTATTAAGAGTAATATTAAAAAAAAATAGCTTTCTTAATTAATTAATGATTTACCACATAATTAAATAAATTAATATGCCTGATCTCATTTTATATAAAATTCAATAACCACTATACAAGAATCCAAAATTAATTGTTTATGAAATTTTATATTCATAAATGTATAACTTCATATCATTTCCTTCTTTTAATTCTATAAGCTAATTGTTTAATTCCGTTATATTAAACAATAGGACATAAATTTTTAGTTATATTGTAGCTGGATAATATCATTCTAATAGATATGCAATTTATATTAAATTTAAATTCATAAATATTTGATATAGTTCTTTATTAATTAAATTCTAAAAGTTGTAAATCATTTTTTCAATATTATTCTTAACAATTTATGTTGAACCCTTTAGAGTTTGAGTATCAGTTTTAGCTTTTAAGATTATTTATTCATACTGTTTGATTTTGTTATTTTATAATTATATTTATGATTATTATTAGGTCTTTTTCATTCTCTCTGCGAGTGCATTAAATATGCTGGATTCATTACTTTTTATTACAATATTTTCATTTTCAAGTATCTGGGTTTGATTAAGGTTTGGTAAAATCTACATAAAATTATAAAATTAATAATATTCCATTTACGGCTGTCCTAAGTGGTTCCTCAATCATATGTTACTTTTTTTTCTAAGAAACATATTTTTTTTTTCTTATGTTTTTATTAAGGTGCTAATGAATAATTTACAAACTAAAAAGATCTTTTAAGATTTAGGTTATTTCTTAAAGAATATGTTAATAAATTTAAGAATAATCAAATCAAATTTGTCATCGAATTATTTTATGATGATAGAATACAAGAAATTGACTCACAAAAGTAAACAAAGTAAATTTATCACATCTTATTTGAAGAATTCTTTTTCAACGATTAATATGTGATTTTAATTTATAGCAATTAAAATTAAATTAAAAATTGGTAAAGGTAATAGTTAAAATAGTAAAATAAAAATAACGGATAATATTTTTAATATGAATAAATTTATCAATTTATTAAATAATTAGATATCTTACAGCAAATATAAAGATTAAGATAAATGCTCAATTGGAAATTATAGCAATATATATATTTAAAATTAATTTAATAATTTATTATAAAATTCAATTAAGATATTAAAAAACTAAAGGATGATATATTATTATTGTTAGAATTACCCGTATGTCTAAATTCTGAATGGATCCAATAAATTCAAAATTTTAGAGAAAATCTAAAAAATTGCTAGCCAATTTAACAGATTAATCTTTATTGGAGAAACTAAATTATCAATAAATAAGTTTTACAACAATAGCGACAGATTTAAATAAAATTGTAAAGAAAAATAAGAAAAATATTTTAGAGAATCTATTAACAATAACTGAGAGTAATAGAGAAGTTAAAAAAATATTAGGCTAAAAATATGTATAAGATAAGAAATCTTTTAATATTTTAACTTTTGATTTTGATTTCACATTTTATGATATCAAAATTTTGGATTATTTTAAGAAGTATTATTCGTTGGATCTAGTGATAAATGAAATATATTCAATTATGATAGAGGCATAAGTTTGGTATAAGTATAAGTAATTTGATACAAATATTAATTCAATTTTAAATTATTTTAATGATTTAACAGTTGAAAATAATGATGATTCGTTAAAATACGAAATAACTGTATTATTAATTGGAAATGCTAAAGTAGGAAAAAGTACTTTGCTAAATATATTGCTTGATCCAAATAATTTAACCATTACAAAGAAAAACAATTTTTTTATTTGAAGTTAAAAAATAAAAAGATAATTTAAAAATATATCACTTTTCCAATAGTTCTACTGAAAAGAGTCATGAACTTGAAATTATTTATGAAATTGAGAATGAAAATATGAAGGAAAAAGTTAAGTTTATATTTGTAGATAATCCAGGTTTCACAGACATAGGTTTAATTAAATATATAATTTATACATCTGAGAATATATCCTTATTTAATTAAATCAACCTCTTCTAATAATTAAAAAAATATCGTTGGATTATTTTAATGCTTTTAATTGATGGAGAACTTGCTTATAAAACAGATAATTTAAAAACTTTAATAAATCACATTGATTTATTAATAGGAGATTTCCTATAAAATTCAAATATAGATCAAGTAATTCTTCCAGTTTTACAAAACTAAAATAAAATACAATGAAATAGATAAAAAATAAATGGGAAGAAGAAATTATGATAGAAACATATAAAAATAAGAAATATTATGAATTAATTAAATAATAAATTAACAATGGTAATTATATCGAATAAATAATGCAGAATATTATCAAGATGATAATTTTAATAAAATAAAATAATAATAAGATTTATAATAAGAAGAGCTAAATTAAATCCAACTCAAAATCAAAGTGATAACAAACATATGATTAGATCATTATAAAGCTTTTATAATCTAAAAGATCAAGATAATTTAAATCAAGATGCAAATATAGAGGAACTTTAAAGTTTAAGAATCAATATCTTAAACAAATGTAATTTATTTCAATACAAATTAAGTTATCTAGATAAAAATAATTTAAAATTATAATTAGATAGCAGAATAGAAACCAGATATTTTTACTAAATTTATATCCTTAAGCAATGATATTCAATTAATTTACAGAATTTAATCTAACAATTTTTTAAGGAAATTAAATAATTTTGCTATTTTATTTGAAAGATGGAAAAAAATAGATGGTTACTCATAAAATTTAGATTTAAAACAAATAATTATTGAATTAGAAATCATATAAAAAATTGATAT